ACCAAAACCAAATGTAAAGAAGCAAACAATTCTAGTCCTTCCCCTCCAGGAGACAAATAGGCATCACTCCCCCCGCCCAAATAACCTCAATAACTAGTGTGAGGCCTTGCAAAGAGTAAAAAGTAAAATCAAACTCCAGTAACTCCTCTAGAGTGAAGATGATGTACAGTAGTCCCGACCTGGAGAATAAGGCCCTGCTAGACAAGGTGAGGGTGAAAGAAAAAAAAGGCAGACAAGCAGAAAAGGCAGAGCAGAAGTCAGGAAACCCAGCTTTTAACCCCATTCCATGTACCACCTTGGTAATCTTGAGCAGAGGCAAGTTGCCTCTTTGTGCTTCAACTTTCTCTGCAGAATGGGACAATACTGTCTTCTTGGGGGATGTAGCATAATGTATGAGACCCTAACACCTACCAACCAGTAGCCTGTCAACAAATATTAGTTTCCTTCCCTTTAAGAGCTAGACTGAATCAGCAATGAACTTGTTTGCCTTTCAGGAAAAGCTTCTTTGAGGGCACCAAGACCAAGTTCTTCCACCTACTGTTATTTGGCATCACCGGGAGCATGTTAGAAAATATGCCCATATCAAAAGTAGTGAAATCAGATTCTGCATTGTAACAAGATCCCAGGGGTACAGAGCCGGGCTTAATATCAGAATGCCATCAGGATAGAGGTAAACTGCCAGCCAGCCCTGAGGGGAGTGGAAAAAAGGGGAAGGACAAGGTAAAAGAAAAGTCCTCATTGAGAAACTGTAGGCTAAAGCATCATAGGAGGTAAGTTTACCTAACTCTGGAAGGAGTTAGGAAGAGATAAGAACCATAAATAAGGGGCCTTAACAAAGCCCAGTTCTTTAGGACTGGAGATCCCCACAGAGGATGGTGACCATAATTTCTATAACCTTCATAAAGAGGCCTTAATATATTCATTTACTTAGGAACCCCAGCAGACCTCATGAGTCAGGCACTCTTAAGAGAAATCCCCACTGTAAGATTGAGGAAACTAAGGCTTACTCCTTAAATTCCTCTGAGCAGGCTGTTCCTCTGCTTGTAAGCATTTTCTGGTTCCCTGTGGCCCACAGTAGCGTACTACAGCATGTAAGTATCTAGGGAGTTCTGAGAAGGCAGATTCTGGAAACTCTGATTCAGAAGGACCAGGGTGGCTCTAGAATCTGTACTTTTTTTTTTTTTTTTTTTTGGTAGTACTAGGGATTGAACCCAGGGGCACTCTACCACTGAGCCACAACCCCAGCTCTTTTAATCTGGAGGTAGAGTCTCACTAAGTTTTCCAGGCTGGCTTCAAACTTTTGATTCTCCTGCCTTAGACTCCCAAGTAGCTGGGATTAAGGTGTGTGCCTCCAAGTATAGCTAGAATTTGTACTCTTTTTTTTTTTTTTTTTGAGAGAGAGAATTTTTTTTTAATATTTTTTTTTAGTTTTCGGCGGACACAACATCTTTGTTTGTATGTGGCGCTGAGGATCGAACCCGGGCCGCACACATGCTAGGCGAGCGTGCTACCGCTTGAGCCACATCCCCAGCCCTAGAATTTGTACTCTTAATGCGTGCTCAGGGGATACTGCTACAAAACCACTAACACACATGATCCACAAGTCCTGCTTTTGGCCTGATGATCAAGACCCTATATAAGCTAGTCCCTAAGGAACTTCAGAGAAATTCTAGTCATCCTTCTAATGGCAGCTGCAAAGGCTCCCCTACCATAAGGTCTTCCCAGACACACACAAGGCAGACTCACCATTCTCCTTGGTTTGCCTACAGTAGCACTTTCAAGCCTTAATGTGTATTTGAATAACTTGGACAGCTTGTTATGTTGTGATTCTGGTTCAACAGACCTGAGACCTGAGATTCTACACTTCTACTGGGTTCTTGGGCCCACAGATGGCCATACTTTAATATAGACAGGAGTGGTTGCACTGTATACTCAGCTATAGCATTCATCTTGATATTTTGTCCATACAGAAATATAAGACAGCGGCTTCAAGGATTCTTAAGATCAGTAGCAAGCAGGGAAATTAGGAGAAGAAACTCTAGAGCAAACCTTGAACTTCAGTCATGTCATTAGTGTCAAACAACTGTGACCATTTACTGACTGCCTATAGGGCATCTCCTACATCAGGATCTTCATGTCTACTCTCCTGTGGATTGTTATCCCACAAAAAACACTCAGGTCTTGGTGCCTACCAATGTAACTCTTATTTCTAATTCTTACAACAAACATGTCAGGCTTGAATTAGCACTACTTATCATGAGGAACAGCACTAGCAACTTTTCTAGAATTTTAATTGGTCCTTGCAAGCACTAATTAAGATGAGGCAGGGAATTACCAATGAGAAAACTGAGGAAAAAGAAGTTAAATAACTTATCCAGGGTTAGTGATAGCCAGCAAATGGGGCATCCAGGATATAAACTCAAGCATTCTCACTCTAAACTTGAGGTTCTTAAGGGCTACATATGGCAAACACTATTAAGCCTGTCTTGACAGCACACCACCCACTCATACTCTTGGAAAAAAAAGAAAGAAAAGAACACCAAATTTGTTCAGAGAGGTGAAGTGTGATGTAATGTCTCAGGACAATGAGCTCTAGAGAAAGAGTGAGAGAAATCCAGGGTCATGACTCCCAATTCCTCTATGCTGTTACAACTTGCCAACTTAATTTACTGAACCCTGAAGTTATTCTTAACTGGCCAAGAATAATTTGCCAGTTATTCTTTTTTTTTGTACCACTGATTGAATTCAGAGGTACTTGACCACTGAGCCACATCCCTATCCCTATTTTTGTATTTTATTCAGATACAGGGTCTCACTGAATTGCTTAGCACCTCGCCATTGCTGAGGCTGGTTTTGAACTTGTGATCCGCCTGTCTCAGTCTCTAGATCTCCTGGGATTACAGGCATGCACCACCACACCCGACATGCCAGTTATTCTTAACATGGCAAGAAAGTATGTCTGCCCTGCCCAGCAACAACTTCCTGTCCCCAGGGATGAGTTTCCAGGACCTCCCAACAAGCATACTATGGTCACATGATGCTCACGTGTCTTTCTCCTTCTCAGAACTCTCATACTCCAGGAACACGATGTGTCGGGGATAGTGACCACAGATATCCCCATTCACATTTGGAATCACGCTGAAACAGTAGTCTCGGCCAAACAGCTCCAGACATCTCTTCTCAATGCGCTCAACCTGCACAGAGGAGACTTAAGCATGAAAAAGATTCTGGTGTTCTCTGGGTCATATTTATGTGGTCCCTTACTTGGAGAGGTCACTGAGAATGACATGTGCCTCTGTGATTATTATTATTTTTCAGTGCTGTGAATAGACATCATGATGCTAGCTCACAGACCCTACATGTTCATTAACCCACACGGCATACTTCAAGAAGGACCCTAAACCCATTGACATTGCATGTAAAAACTGTGCGTGTTCAGCATTTGGGGGGCAGGATCACAACTTTCATTAGCTTCAAATGAAATGACAACACATAAAATATCTTTCTCTAGATTACAAAACCTGTCACTAACCCATCACCTACCCTTGGTGACAGATTATTCCCTCTTCTCCAGCTTCAGACTAGTACCTTGAAGCTCTAGTCCTTGTAATCAGTAAGAACTTCAGACAGTTTCTAATAACACACCATTTCCTTATAAAAATAGAAGGCACAGCTCCCCCTAAGGCTGTTCACTTTGTTCACAGTTCAAGAAAGGTCCATTGGGGGGAAAAAACATAAGTCTATACATCTCAAGAAGTTTACAAGTGATCAGAAGGCCTGGAGCGGCATCAAGCCCAGGTGCAGTGGAAGGTCTGAGGGAAATCCCAAGGGGGAAAAAAAAAGAGAGGAACTGAGACCTTCTTTTGATAAAGGAACAGAGAGGGAGTGTGGGTTGTCTTCCTGCTCTATAGGGGAAGGAAAGGGATGGGCCTAAGTCATGCTGAGACCTTATAAGGAGGCAACTCAGCAGTCCATCTCTTGGCAGTCCATCTCTTGGCTCGGTTCTGCCCTTTCATTCTGACCTCTGACCTGGAGGAATCCTCTCCCTATTTTTACTTAGATGTGGTGGTTTTGCCCTGAACCACCCCTATCCCCCAGGCACCAGAAGCAGGATAATAGCATTCCTTAGTTCTCTTTGCTCCAGGACCCTCAGCTCTGACCCTGGACCTCCAAACCCCTAGTCTCAAACTAAAAAAGACCGCCTTCCGCTGCTCATTCGGATTCTAGTTTCTCCTTTTTTTTTTTTTTTTTTTCATTTTTAAGCCCGCCCCTTACTCTCCGGGTCCAGACCCTGGAGAAGTTCCCTCTCTACCCTCTTCCTCAGCAGACAGGTCCCACTTCTACTTTCCTGTGCCCTCGGACCTCAGTCTTTCCTTTCTAACTTCCCAAGACAGGGGTCTGCTCCAGTTCTCCGTGCCTCCGAGCTCACCTTAGAGCCGCTCGTCCCGCTGCCGTCCTTGGCCCGGTACTGAGTCCGGGAGAACTCTTCTAGCAGCTCCCCGAGCCCCGGCTCCTGAGGCGGTGGGTTGCCTGAAGAGGCTGAGGACCCTGCCGAGGCGGCGGCGGCGGCCCGAGCGCCAGCCATGGTCCAGCCTCACGTCCCCTCAATGCGCCTCAGCCTGGCCCATGGCACCTGGCGGCACCGACTGCTACTCTGGAACCTCGCGAACCGCCTCAGCCGCCGCCTTCTTCTTCCACTTCCGGCCCCGCCCCACTCCGCCGGATGTTTACTCTGGTCCTGGCCAATCAGAACCCGGCACTCGCGCCTTACCCACGACTACCGGCCCACCCGTGACGCGGAGCGATCCAAGTGGTCTCCGGGAGGGGGCCGCAGCCACTCGCAGCTGCTGGGGCTCCGCCCCACGGGGTTTCCCCCGGGGAAGCCGGGCTGAACCATCGGGACTGCGGCGGGAGGGGGTAGTGCGGGAACTAGTAAGAAGAAACCGGTGGAAAGCGGAGAAAAGTGGAATGAACCATTATAGAGAGAAGGGAAGGCACCAAATTAGCCTCGGCAACCATAATAGCAGTAGTAACTAATATCAAAACAGCGTTTCATAAAGCAGTTTTCTGCCTCTGCGCTTCACAACGTCCCTATGAGCATAGTGCACTATATGGCCAACCATATTTTATAAAGACACCCTATTTTGTGGAGGAATCAAGAAGGTATGAAAAGCGCTGTATTTTTTTTTTCTCTAATGGAATATTTCAAATATTCAGAAAAGGGGAGACAGTAGTATACTGGAACCTCATGTATCCACCACAGTGCTCAACAATAAACGGTAAATGCCAGTCTCTCCTAATTAATGAATTCTTCCCTGTCAAGGGATTATTCCCCCATCTTTTTTTTTGGGGGGGGGGGGCGGGGGTACTGGGGATTGAACCCAGGGGACCTCTACTGTCTGTAATCGTGGTCCACTTTATGCTTTGAATGTAATCCTTGCTTCTCTACCACTGCAATTTATTTTTTATTTTTTTATATTTATTTTTTAATTGTAGTTGGACACAATGCCTTTATTTATTTATTTTTATGTGGTACTTAGGATCGAACCCAGGGCCTCGCACCTGCTAGCCGAGCGCTCTACCGCTGAGCCACAATCCCAGCCCTGCAATTTATTTTTTAAGTGGACATATTTCTTTCTCTTCCTCTCTCCCTAATCTCTCCGATCCCTAACCTCTGGGGAAACAGGTTTACCTTTCTTCCCCATTCTAGGCAGATTTAGCTATCCTTGAAAACAGGTCCACTATAGGAAGGAAGTAATTCAGACTTTAGGGATGGTACCAGAAGATCTCTGAAAGGACTGCCTCCCAAATTAACAAGTGAATTACAACTCCAACGGAGAAAAACTAGTGGAATTTAGCCTTTGAATCACCTCTTTAAAAGCCCCCCTCCCTGTTCCTGCTGATGGGCAGAATCACAGCCTTTGGGACAGAAGGCCCTGTTGTTTCTTCTTTGCTGGCAAAGCAGTAACCCTTTCCCCTTTTTCTCAAAACCGTGTCCTTATTATTGGATTGCCGTTAGGGACAAGGACGAGCTTTCAGCAACACTACTGCTGAGTTTTGTCTCCAGCCCTTTTTATATTTAATTTTGAGAGTGGGTCTTGCTAAATCACTGAGGCTGGTCTCCAAACTGTGAGCCTCCTACCTTAGCCTCCTGAGTTGCTAGGATTACAGGCAGCGTTCCTCTGTGCCTGGTTCTTTCATGAACTGACAAACTAAATGAATCAGTTTAACCCAAGACACACAAAAGTAAAATAAGCAAAAACAAGTAAAAGGAATATATGAAAATATAGGCAAAATAGATAAAAAGAAAATTCCTCAAGCACAGAGCACTGGTAAGGACCCAAACACTATCCACAGTGAAATTATCTAAAATGGTCAGGGACCAAAAATGGTCAGAACCAAAATGGTCCATTCAAAGTGACACTTGAATGGGTCTGGATTGCCACCAGCCGTCAGCAATGAAGTAAAGGATTTGTTTTATTCACTCAGGAAGGATGTTGATCAACTAATGCTTTTGCAAAATAACCGTCCCCAGAGTGGCATCTTAGTGAGCAGTATGAAGGAACTGGAATTTATGGTTCCAGAAGGTTTATTCACTCAACTTCTAGGTGTCAGTTTTTGGAGGGAAAGTTCCAGGAAATTAACTATTGCACACAGTTTTCCTGTGGCTATCAGTCAACCGATTATCAAATGAAACTGTCAGCTGCCACTTGGCTCAAAGCTTGTTTTACCAGAGAAAATTCAATATGGAGTTAGTGCTGTCAAAATACAGTCCCATTAATCATAATTAAAAGACCAGTTTTTCTCAGATTCACAAGAGGCGTAACAAGGCAAAACGTGAATCACACCTGTCCACTGTCAGTCACTACACATTCCCCAACTAGATAATCACTATCTTGACTTCTAATAGTGTATATTGTTGGTAAAGATGGCACCCAGAGCGCTCAGGACGCACTGAATGGCGCGCGAACCACCACCTCCAATCCCTGAAGTGGCGCGAACTCTTGGCCAATGAAGAAGTAACAGCCTACTCGCCCTGCTCCTCCTCATCCCGCATTGAGCCCATAAATATCAACACCCTGTTCTCGGGTTCTCTCGCTCTCCACCCCCTTCTCTTCTGCAACTGGCCACTACTGTCCCGCTAATAAAATATCGGACAGGTAAACAGTTGTTTCGGCTTGTTGAGTTTACAAAGCTTTTTCTGCCTTCCTACATATATTAGTTGTGTTTTTGAACTTTAGTCAAATGAAATCATAATGTGTACTCTTTTTTATATAGAATTCTTATGTAAAAATATTTCTGTTAGTTGCACATGCACACAATTCATTCATTCATTCATTCATTCATTTATATAAGGTGCTGAGGATTGAACTCAGTGCCCCACATATGCTAGGCAAGCACTCTATCATTGAGCCACAACCCCAGCCCCATAATGTGTGTTCTTTTGTGTTTGGTTATTTTCCTTCAACATAATGTTCTTAAGATTAGTCTATTTTTTGCATGTAATGGTAGTTGTTCATTCTCAGTGCTATGCCATTGAATAAAAAAATGACAATCTTTTTTGTTTAATTGCTGATGGACATTTATATAGTTTATATGTTTGGGGCTAATAAAAATAGTTCTGTGGGGCCCAGCACCATGGTGCAGGCCTGTAATCCCAGCGGCTCTGGAGGCTGAGGCAGAAGGATCGTGAGTTCAAAGCCAGCCTCAGCAATGATGAGGCACTAAGCAACTCAGTGAGACCCTGTCTCTAAATGAAATACAAAATAAGGCTGGGAATGTGGGTCAGTGGTTGAGTGCCCCTGAGTTCAAACGATGGTACCAAAAAAAAAAAAAAAAGTTATCTAGGGCTGGGGTGTGTGGCTCAGTGGTAAAATGTACAGGTGTCATTCAAGAGGACCTACATTTGAAACCCAGCATTGCACAAAATGAATAAAATGAATGTAGCCCGGAACATGGCACACACCTATAGTCCCAGTTACTTGGGAGACAGGAGGATAGCATGAGCCCAGGAGTTGGAGGGCAGCCTGTGTAACTTAGCATGATTCTGTCTCAAAATAATAATAATATAATAATAATGCTCTGTCATGATGGGCAAAAGGTGCGACTTATGCTGTCCAGGCGGAGAAATAAAGAATGTCCACATGCTTCTGTCCTAGTCAATGCTTTATTCACTCAAATCATTCAATATAATTCACTCTATAGGTTCTTAATCAAGAAAACGACAATCCTTAATGCTAGGCACTGCAATAGACATAATCAATGCACAGCAAACAATTTTAGATTAATTCTAAGTTCTGCAAACACATTTAATCATGAAAGGCTCATGACAGACATTCCCTCTGCTTGCTAAGTTCAAGTGTCAGATCAAAAGTCTCAAGCCTTATGCTTTAAGTCCAGCAGATGCACACTTACTCAGACCGCCATGATCAGGTCAGGAACCAAGGCAGGCCTCTTCTGGGGTGGAGCTGACAGCTGGCTGAGAAGGCAGTCATATGGAGAAATCCATTTCTCACCAGAGTCAAGAGGCTGCTGTAGAGTTTGAGAGCAAGAGAACAATACAGAGGTGTAGGCAGATGAGAAGAATTGGGATGTTAGTCCTGGTCCTCATCAGGCTCTCAGGCTTGGGTGCATCAGTGTCAGCTGGCTGAATGTCTGTTCATTTGCTCCATTATTTATAGCAAATTTTGGAGCTTTTGACTCCCCTTTCAATCCTTATCAGCTGCCAGCAGGTGTCTTAGTGATGTCATTTACCCTGGGGTTAAAACATCTGGCCTGGTGGTCCCCACCCTGATCTTTTTGCCTTTCCCTCTTAGTGGGTGCCTTTCCCTCTTATCTGGCAAGGACAGCCTGCCAGAGACTTCACTCTGAGTTTGTCAGGGTGGGGAGAAGTGACTTGTTTGTACCTGAGGGCCATTCTGGAGGGCTCTGTTAGGCATGCCTACTGAGACTACAGGTTTCAAACTGGAGTTTTAAAATGGAGTTACTTAGGCTCAGCCTAAGGCCATCCTTACATGATCTTATGAGTTATTTTGTAGATATTTTTGCTAAGCCTAAGCCTAAATAGACATTTCTCTTAGGTATCTACCAAGGAGTGGAATTGATGGATTTGATGGCTAATGTGTGTATAAGTTTTTCAGAGTTTTCCCCAGAGGTTGTGTTCATTTCTAGTCCCACATGCTTGCATCTTGCCACCATGTGGTAATTTTCATTTTAGCAGCTCTGGTGAGAGTGTAGTGGTTATCTTATTGGGCTTATAAAACACTAACTTTATTTATTTTTAATTTTAGATACCTCCTAAAAATTTTAGAGACCTCCTGCCTCAGGCTCTCCAGCAGCTGGGACTACAGACACGTGGGACTATATCCAGCCAAAAAAAAAAAAATCAACTTTACTAAAGTACAGAGTATGTATGATAAAATACACCCACTCTACTGGTACATGTTGAGACGTGTTGCCAAATTATAAAATTGCCACCACATTCAGGATATTGAATACTTGTTATCACCTCCCATAAAGTTCCTTTGAATCTCCTTCCAGCCAACCCCTCTGATCCCCATCCACAGGCAACCACTGATTTGCTTTCTATCCCCAGACTCTCCTATAAATGGAATCATACAATGTGTACTCTTCTGCATCTGGCTTCTCTCAGCATAGTTAATTTTGGTTTTAATTTGCATGTCTCTGATTAATGAAGTTGATCACCTTTTCCACATTTACTGCTGATTTAAACATACTCCTTTGAGTAGCACTTTAACATCTTTTGCTCAATTTTCTATTTGGGTTATCTGTATTTTTTTTCTTCCTTTTTAGTTGTAGTTGGACACTATATCTTTATTTTATTTATTTATTTTTATATGGTGCTGAGGATCAAACCCAGTGCCTCATATAAGCGAGGCAAGCGCTCTGCCACTGAGCCACAATCCCAGCCCTATCTGTATTTTTTTTTATTTATTTTTATTTTTTTTAGTCATACATGACAGCAGAATGTATTTTGATATATAATACATATATGGAATGTATATACATCAATCATAATGTCTATTCTATTCTGCTGCCCTTCCTATCCTCCCTACTCCTCCCCTCCTCTCCCATCCTTTCTCTCTATCCAATCTAATGTGACACAGTTTTTTTTTCTTTTTCTCATTACAACATCATATATATATTCTGTATAACAATGAGGTTCTCCTTCCATCTTCCGTCCAACTCCCCTTCTCCCTCTTTTTCCCTCCCACCTCTCTTCCCTATTTAGTGGTAGTCTTCTTCTCATGCTCTTCCTCCCTATCCCATTTTGAGTCACCCCCCTTATATCAGAGAAGACATTCGGCATTTGTTTTTTAGGGATTGGCTAACTTCACTTAGCATAATCTGCTCTAATGCCATCCATTTGCCTGCAAATGCCATGATCTTGTTATTTTTTAGTGCTGAGTAATATTCTATTGTGTATATGTGCCACATTTTTTAATCCATTCATCTATTGAAAGGCATCTAGGTTGGTTCCACATTCTAGCTATTGTGAACTGTGCTGCTATAAACATTGATGTGGCTGTGACCCTGTAGTATGCTCTTTTTAGGTCTTTTGGGTATAATCCGAGAAGGGGAATAGCTGGGTCAAATGGTGGTTCCATTCCCAGCTTTCCAAGGAATCTCCATACTGCTTTCCAAATTGGCTGCACCAATTTGCAGTCCCACCAGCAATGTATGAGTGTACCTTTTTCCCGCATCCTCGCCAGAACTTATTGTTGTTTGACTTCATAATGGCTGCCATTCTTATTGGAGTGAGATGGTATCTTAGAGTAGTTTTAATTTGCATTTCTCTGATTGCTAGAGATGGTGAGCATTTTTTCATGTATTTGTTGATTGATTGTATAACCTCTTCTGAGAAGTTTCTGTTCAAGTCCTTGGCCCATTTGTTGATTGGGTTATTTGCTTTTTTGTTGTTTAACTTTTTGAGTTCTTTGTATACTCTAGAGATTAGAGCTCTATCTGATGTTTGAGGGATAAAAATTTGTTCCCAGGATGTAGGCTCCTTATTCACCTTGCATATTATTTCTCTTGCTGAGAAAAAACTTTTTAGTTTGAATTCGTCCCATTTGTTGATTCTTGGTTTTAACTCTTGTGCTATAGGTGTCTTATTAAGAAATTTGGGGCCTGCCCCCACGTGATGTATTTTCTTATTGACTTGTAGATGACATTTGCATATTCTGGTTATGAGTCCCTTTTTGAAATTTATGTATTGCAAATATCATTTCTCATTCTCTCATTTTTTATTCTCTGGCTTGCCTTTTTACTAAGGAACCTTTCCGTAATGAAGAAAAGCCCCCCACCCATACTAGGCAAGGAAATCAGAGGCCTTTACCTCTGAGCTGTATCCTCAGACCTTTTTATTTGTTGGTTTGTTTATTTTCAGACAGTCTTGCTAAATTGCTGAGGCTGGCTTTGAACTTGCCATCCTCCTGCCTCAGTCTCCCAAGTAGGTGAGATTATAGGTATGAGCCACTATACCCGGCTGAGAACTCTTTTGTTGTTGTTGTTCTTGTTGTTTTGTAGTTGTAGATGGACAGACTGCCTTTATTTTATTTGTTTACTTTTATGTGGTGCTGAGGATCAACCCAGTGCCTCACACATGCTAGGCAAGTGCTCTGCCACTGAGCTACAGCCCCAGCCCCTGAGAACTCTGTTTTAAGAAGGGAGTGTGATCGCTTCTCAGCCTTTTGGCTAAGATCAAGTGTTAAGAAGGGAGTGACAATAGCCAAGAAGGCTGTCCACAAGCCTAAGCACCAGAGCCGGCACCCATCCAAAGTCGGGTGTATTGGTGCACACCTGTAATCCCAGCTACTTGGACTGAGGCAGAACAATCACAAGTTAGAGGTCAGCCTTAGCAACCTAGCAAGTCTCTGTTTCAAAATTAAAAATAAAAAGGACTGAGGATATAGCTCAGTGGTAAAATGCCCCTGGGTTCAATTCCCAGGATTGCAATCATCATCATCATCATCATCATCAATGTAAATATAAATTTAAAAATTTTAGAATCCAAACAAGATCTAAATGTTGCATTGGATATGTCTCATAACTCTTTTATTCCATGATTCACCCACTGTTTTTCTTCTCTCTCTTTCTACTTTTTTTTTTCCTTTTTATCCTTATTTGTTGAAGAAACAGAATCATTTCTCCCCAGGATTTGGCACTTTCTACCTGTGACTTTTGCATCCCACATTGTCATCTTGTTTTTCTATCCCCTGTAAAGTCTATCAAGCAGATATTAACCCTAGAATAGAATACATTCAGGTTTAAGATTTGTTCAGCGGAACTTCATAGGTGGTGCTATGTGATTCCTAGTGCATCATTTTCTGATTTTGATAAAATTGACCACAGGGCTGAGCAGGATGGTACATGCCTGCAATTCCAGTAACTGGGGAGGCTGAGGCAGGAGGATTGCAAGTTGGAGGTGGGGTGGGGTGATCCACAGCAAAAAAATTGCTCACAGGATTCAGAAGTCCTCAATCTGATCCAACTATGGATAAAGTTTTTTATTAGCATGGTGCTGACAACATAAAAATCAAATTGGCTGCAGAGTGTCAAAATAGAGGCTTATAGATTTTACTGACTGAGTCAAATGCCACACAGAAATCACATTAGAAACTGAATCTAGCTGGGCACAGTGGCGCATGCCTGTAATCTTAGTGGCTTGGGAGGCTGAGGCAGGAAGATTGTGAGTTCAAAGCCAGCCTCAGCAAAAGTGAAGCAAATAAATAAATACAAAATAAATAAAATACAAAATAGGGCTAGGGATGTGACTCAGTCGTTGAGTGCCGCTGAGTTCAATCTCTGATACCATAAGGTACTATAAACAAAACAAAAAAGAAAGAAAGAAATTGAATCTGCTAAAAGGAACAGGTTTCCAGAATCTAACAGTACTGTGGGAGGTTTTAGAAAGACTAGATTGACCAGTTTCCCTTGTGACCTGGAAATTCCAGTGGACTTGCAAAATTTATGACCACACTGGTTTTTGTCAGTTTCTGACCACTGGATATCAGACCTCATTCTTACTTATCTCCACCAAAGAATGCTCAAGTTCATTACTGAGTTTTCTTTTCTTTTTTCCATCTTTTCCTTTCCTTTCCTTCCCTTCCTTTTCCACTAAGCCAAATCCCAAGTCCTTTTTAGTTTATTCTTTATTTAATTTTGAGACAGGATCCAGCTAAGTTGCCCAGGCTGGCCTCAAACTTGTGGTCCTCCTGCCTCAGCCTCCTGAGTCACTGGGATTACAGGCATGGGCCACTGAGCCTGGGTAGTTTTGTTTTTGAAAGAGAAAATTATATCATGGGCTTATCATGTTAAATCAAAATTATAGGAGGCCAAAATAGAACTAAGCTTCTACACTGGGCCCCAACAGACCAGATTAAAAATAAAAATGGAGGGCTGGGGATGTAGCTTAGTGGTGGAGCCTTTATCCAGCATGTACGAGATCCCTGTACAATTCCCAGTAATGAGGGGGAAAAGAAAAGAAAAAAAAAAAGAAAATGAAGTCGGGCTAGGGTTGTGGCTCAGTGGTAGCACACTTGCCTGGCACGTGTGAGACACTGGGTTCAATTATCAGCACCACATGTAAATAAATAAAATAAAGGTCTATCAACAACTAAAAAAAATTAACGAAAAAAAGAAAATGAAGTCACTCATGCTAAGTCACCGAGCTGAAAATAAGCTATTTATTTGACCTTCTGAGAAATCAGGATTAGAGAAATAATAGTCAAATTTCCCAAATAGGCCTGTTTTAATTCATAAAGAAGTTTCCTTTGCCTTAATCCTTACACAAAAGAACTCCCGATCTGATATTAACCAATTAGTTATTTTTCTGTTGTTCTGTCCCTACAGTTCTGCAGTGACTTGGGAGACTGAGGCAGGAGGATTGCAAGTTCAAGGCCAGCCTCAGCAACTTAATGAGGCCCTAAGCAACTTAGTGACACCCTGTCTCAAAATAAAACAAAAAGGTTGGGGATGTAGCACAGTGATAAAGCATCCCTGGGTTCAACCCCTGCTACCAAAAAAAAAAAAAGTTGCAAAACTGATGAATACAGCATTAATCTGTGAGAACTTCTGGAACCATGAAGTGCAATATGGAGAACAGAGCGACACTGAACACCTGACACAACTGGGGAACAAATGCTTCATTGTGCCAGAGTCTGTCACATTTCATGCCATCCGAGGGAAGGGATTTGACAAATTAATTGACTTGTCTTTTCTCTTTTCCAAGTGATCTGCCACTCAACAGCATCTGTCTTGCATATCAGCAGTGGAAGGACCTGCTGAAAAATCACTTGAATGTGATATCATCGTTTCTTTGGAAATGTGGAAGAACACGTTCCTGAAGCCTAAATGGGTTTAGTCATAAATGGACATTTATAGGGTTATGGGTGGAACAGTGCCAACACAGAGTGGCCAGATCCCAAATGACACGTGTGACTTTACAAAGACCTCATGCATGTGCTTGTGATATTTGGAACCCTCTAGACAACTCTCTAGACAACAACCCTCTAGACAACAACCAGGATCAAGGGGCTGCTTTCTAGAAGGAAGGAGGATTCCAATCTAGTATAGAGGAACAGCAGTGATGAGGCCACAACCTCAGAGCTGGGGCCTAAGGAGACCAAAGGAACAGAAGTCAATGCTCCAGGTAAACCCTCAAAGACTGGCAGACAATATTTAAACCTGCTAGGATTTGAATACGGTTTGTGCTCTGTATCATTGTCTTTTGTCTTCCAAACACAAAATACTATGTCACTTTATACAGAAAAGAGGTTTGTTTTGTCTTGTTTTGTGTTGTGTTTTGGCTCATCTTCTGGTCCAAGGTCGAGGGCCTACATCTGGCGATGGCCTTCTTGCTGGAATAGTTCCAAGGTGGCTCAGACTATCCTCATGTCACATGGCAAGAAAGAAGATGAGGGGCTGGGGTTGTGGCTCAGCGGTAGAGTGCTTGCCTAGCATGTGTCTCAGCACCACATAAAAATAAACAAATAAAATAAAGGTATTGTGTCTAATTACAACTAAAAAATAAATATTTTTAAAAAAAGAAGATGAGTGTGTGTGTGTGTGTGTGTGTGAGTGTGTGTGTCTTCTGGTTCCTTTTCTTCTTTTTTTAATTTTTATTTTTACTTATTTTTTTAGTTGTCAATGGACCATTATTATTTATTTATATGTGGTGCTGAGAATCGAACCCAGTGCCTCACACATACTCTTCTTCTTTTTCTTCTCCTCTTTTGATACTGGGGACTAAACACCCAGAGGCATTTTATCACTGAGCTATATCCCCAGTCCTTTTTATTTATTTCTTCTTTTCTGAGACAGGGTCTCACTAAGTTGCTAAGGCTGGCCTTGAACTTGTGATCCTCCCACCTCAGCCTCCTGAATCACTGGGATTACAGGTAGCAACACCGTACCCGGTTTCCTCCTCCTCTTTCTCCTTTCTCTTTCCTCCTTTCTTCTCCTTCTTCCTTTTTCATTTTGTAGTTGTAGATGGAAAACATGCTCTTATTTTATTTGTTTTATTTTTATGTGGGACAAAGGATTGAACCCAGTGCCTCACATGTGCTAGGCAGGCCACTGAGCTACAGCCCCGGGCCCTTCCTTCTTCTTGTAAAGCCACCAATATTCAATATGGGACCTGCACACTGATGATTTTATCTAATCCTAATCACCTTCCAAAGCCTTCCTCTAAATGGTATAGGCCAATTGTTTCCACTCTCTCTCTCTCTTTTTTTAAATACATCTTTATTTATTTTTATGTGGTGCTGAGGATCAAACCCAGTACCTCACACATGCAAGACAAGTGCTTTACCACTGAGCTACAGCCCCAGCCCATTTCCACTTTTTTTATACCTCAAGATGTTGGGATTAAATTTCAGCACATGAACCTTTAGAGGATACATTCAAACCATATCCAAACCATAGCATCACCCAAAGGCTCATGTGCTAGAGATGTGGTTTCCAGAGGTGGTGGAACCTTTAAAAGGCAGAGACTAGTAGTGAAAGATGGTTAACCACTGGGGGCTATAATATAGTGTGTGTGTGTCTCTCTCTCTCTCTCTCCCTCCCCTGCACTGGCGATTGAACCCAGGGGTACTCTATCAATGGGCTACACCCCCAGCCATTTTAATATTTTGAGACGGGGTCTGGTTAGGTGGCCCTTGCTAGCCTTGAACTCCTAATCTTCCTGTCTCAGGCTCCCTAGTTTCTGGGATTACAGACTATTCCATCATGCCCAGCTTAATGTAGTTCTTGCAGGAGCTCAGTTAGTTCCCATGAATGTGGATTGTTACTAAAAGAACAAGACTGGTTCCTCTGACCTCTCTCTGACTTCCTATCTCACCATGTAATCCCTTTGGTTTTCTTTGTGTTTCTCTCCTGTATTGTCACCCAGCCAAGTGAACTTCCCCAGAAACTGATCAGATGTGGTCAGCTCATTTTGGACTTTCAGCTCCCTCTTTTCTTTATAAAACGTCTCTTTTCTTTATAAAGCATGTGCCTCATGTATTTTGTTATAGCAACAGAAAATGGCCTAATATAGTCTCTCATTGGTTCTAATCTGACCAATGGGAATTTTAAATACCTTGAGTATACATGATACAATTTGGGGGCAACTGAATGGTCACATTGTCAGTGATCTAACAATCAACTAATTTTTCAGGTATCTATGGAGTGCTACTGTATGTCAGGCACTGTGTAGGGCTCATAGAATCAATATTGACCAAGGTTAGGGAGATCCTTGAGCTTTGCTCTCTCAGTCTCACAGGGAAGGCAGAAGCTGAATTTGGTAGGTGGAATGTTGAAAAAGAGTAGTTTAGGTGCTTTGGCAATATGTGGTGCCTCTGGAATCTTATCCACAGAAAATAGGAACCAGGAGGCTGAGTTCCCCAGGGAACATCTCTCTCAGGACAGTTGCCTCAGTGAGAGAGGGAATTCATTCTCTGGCCAGACTGATTTATGCCCTCAATTTAATAGCTCAATGGCATCCCCAGAGACAGTCTGGTGGAATTTCACTTGTATTGCTAATCAAGGACCTGTCTGGTAGATTACTTAATAACAAGCCCCACTCTGATTATTTCTGACCTGGAGATGAATGTTTTAGGCCCAGTTGGAGTCCTCAAGTCTGATCCTTATAAATCACCGGGATGGGAGCAGGGTGTGATGGTGCATGCTTGTAATCCCAGTGACTCAGAGGGCTGAGGCAGGAGGATTGCAAGTTCAAGGCCAGCCTGGGCAACTCAGTGAGGCCCTGTCTCAAAATAAAATAGAAAGGGCTGGGGATGTGGCTCAGTACTAGAGGTCCTGTAGGTTCAGCTCCAGTACCCCACATACAAAACACACACAGACTTAAACAAATCAGAGAAAGATAGGGATAATTTTGACCACCCCATGGATAGCATCAAGAATCTCTCCATCCTAGTATTGGATATCTCTACAATTTTGTTCAGATGACTCATTCCAGGACTGGAAAAGCTGTTGCTGTTATTGATGCATAACATACTGCTCTTATTGACCTTTTTACATATATATATATACACACACAACTGTAATCTCAGTGACTCTGGAGGCTGAGGCAGGAAGATCATAAGTTCAAAGCCAGCCTCAGCAATTTAGTGAGGCCCTAAGCAATTCAGTGAGACTCTGTCTCAAAATAAATAAAATAAAATAAAATAAAAAGGATAAAAAGGACTGAGGATGTAGCCCAGTGGTTAAGCACTCTTGAGTTCAATTCCTGGTAGAAAAAAAAGCCATATTGGTATAGACACATTAAACTTAATTTTTTTCCATTTGTACAGGGGCAACTATATTAAATATGTAAGGTCTTATCTATGTGGATTTGATTATAGAAACTAAGAAGCAATCTCTTCATCTCTCAACCCACCTTCTGATTTTCTTAGGCCCTGGGATCATGGTCAGGACCATCTTCACACTAAAAGGATAGAATCTTTACAGCTTTTGATCAGGGATGAAGAACTGAGTCAGTCTCTTCCTCTCTCCCTTCTTCCTCAGGAAAATATCTGATTTATTCCTATGTATCAGTTGTCCTTCCTGAGGCCATGACAACAAAGCCAGGTGGGTGGAGCCATATGATTGGCAGGCTTGGGGACACACATCCCACTCTTATGACCCAGAGGGAGGAAGGGTAGTTCCCTAAAAGCAGCTGGGTACTATCACCAGAAGAAGGGGAAAGGAATGCTGGGAAGACAAATCTAACAGCTTTTCCATCGCAGCATATACAGATGGCTTCATATACACATTTAAGGACTGATCCCTTACAAGCTGCCTAAACTATTTTAATCCTCAAAAGCACAAATTAATCTTTTTATGCATTAAAAGCTTTGGAGACTTCAGATATCAGTAAAGAGTAAATTCCACAGGCCAATATAAATCATTCAGAATTTTCCATTCGACTCCCTTCCCCTGCTCTCATCCTTGACTCCTGTCCCTCTCTCCTCTCCCCATTTTTTGGTACTGAGTATTAAACTCAAGAGCACTTTACCACTGAACTACATCTCTACTCCTTTTATTTTTTAAAAAAATTTTAAGAGGGGCTGGGGATGTGGCTCAAGTGGTAGCGCGCTAGCCTGGCATGCGTGCGGCCCGGGTTCGATCCTCAGCACCACATACCAACAAAGATGTTGTGTCCGCCGAAAACTAAAAAATAAATGTTAACAATTCTTAAAAAAAAAAAAAAATTAAGACAGGGTCTCACTAAGTTGCTGAGGGTGTCACTAAGGGCTGAGGCTGACCTCAAATTTGCAATCCTGCCTTAGCCTCCCAAATCACTGGGATCCTGGGATTACAGGCATGTGCCTGGCATCCCCAACCTTTTTTTTTTTTGTCTTGTTCTGTGGTGCTGGGGATTGAACCCAGGGCCTTGTGCATGCGAGGCAGGCACTCTACCAACTGAGCTATGTCCCCAGCCCCATCCCCAACCATTTTTAAAATTTATTTTGAGATGGGCTATCTAGCAAGTCACACATCTTTCATTATAGAATATTGGCTAGATGTACCCTTGGGCTCCTGTTCTCGTCTGGGTGCTCTGTCTAGCATCTCATCCTTGCCTTGGGAATGTATAGCTCCTATCTTGATCCTATGATTCACGATGGCCGCACCCCTCCCTGGAGTCAATAAGATACCATTCTTATTGAGAATTCTTACATTTCTTTCCGTAACTGTTCCAAGTTCACTCTTTAAAGTGCAGACACATCCTGTCCCAGCTACTCACAGCTCAGCAAGTGCATCTCCAGGATCATCACTTTTTTTCTACCCTTTGGCTCAGTCACTTATAATTAAAATTTAATGATAATCACATTTATAGCCTTTTTCAGTTTACAAAGATTTTTTTTTTTTTGGTACCAGGGATTGAATTCAGAGGCACTTGATCATTGAGCCCCATCCCCAGCCCTATTTTTATTTTTATTGGTTGTTCAAAACATTACAAAGCTCATGACATATCATCTTTCATACATTTGACTCAAGTGGGTTATGAACTCCCATTTTTACCCCAACCCAGCCCTATTTTGCATTTTATTTAGAGACAGGGTCTCACTGAGTTGCTTAGTGCCTCACAGTTGCTGAGGCTGGCTTTGAACTCACAATCCTCCTGCCTCAGCTTCCTGAGTGCTGGGATTACAGGCATGTGCTACCACATGCGGCCTACCAAGATCTTTTCTATCCATCATCTCTTTTTGTCCTCACAGCATCCATGAGAAGGACATGTACTTTTTTTTTTTTTTCGCCCCCAGAGGAATAAAACAAGGCTCTGAAGGGTAGTAGCAGTGTCTCAGGCCAAAGGCCAGAGGCAGGCCTTCATTCCCGGTCTTGTGGTTCTGATACATGAGGAGTAACTCATTTATTCAGACATACTTCTATAATATAAATAATACATTATGTAAGCTCCTGTTCTCACTTTTGGAGGAATATAGGTATATTTAGGTCTATTTTGATTAGAACAACAACAAATATTAACTCATACTAAGTGTGGTGACATGCACTCATAATCCCAGTAATTCAGGAGACTAAGAAAGAAGGATTGCAAATTCAGGGCTAGTCTGAGCAATTTAAGTAGTCCCTGTCTCAAAAAAAAAAAAAAAAAAATAGAAAGGGCTGGGGATGTAGCTCAGTGATAGAGTACCCCTGGGTTCAATTCTCAGTACAGAAAAACAAAACAAAAATCTAACTTGGAGTAGTTTAAACAGAACTGAGTTTATTGGCTCACCCCAACAGAACAATCCAGAAGTAGTTTGGACAGATCTGAGTGTTCAAACTCTATTTCTTATTCTTGTTTCTTTTCTTTTTTTTTTTTGGGGGGGGGGACTGGAAATAGAACCCATGGGTGATTTAACACTGAGCTACACTCCTAATTCTTTTTATTTTCTATTATGAGACAAGGTCTGGCTAAGTTGTCCAGGCTGACCTCAAACTTGTGGTCCTCTCGCTTCAGCCTCCTGAGTCATTGGGATTACAGGTATGCAGCACCACCCAGCTTCTTAGCTTTTTTCTGTATTGACTTTATTCTTAGACAAGCTCTCTGCTTAGCCTATCAAAGGTGGCCACCAATAGCTGTGGCTCACAACAAACCCAACAGAAGGACAGCACCTCTTTCCTATAAACTTCAACAAATAATTTGGCTAGAACTCTTAATTCTGTGGCCTGAGTTGAGGACCAAACCTAGAACCAGTCATTGTATCCAGTACAATTTAGTATTTTCATTGTCCAGGCTTGATCATTGGCTCCATTGGCTCCTTCTGGAGAGAAATATGACGTGTGTGTGTGTGTGTGTGTGTGTGTGTGTGGTATCCCATCAAAACCAGAGACTGAGTGAAAAGGAAAGAAAATTCTTTTTTCTTTTCTCTCTCTCTCTCTTTTTTTTGGGCTGGAAATGGAATGCAGGGCTGAGCTACATCCCCTTTATTTTTATTATTTTTTTTTATTTTTCAGTACTGAGGATTGAATCCAGTGGTGCTTCACCACTAAGCTTCATCCCAGACACCCCCTCTTTTTTTTTTTTTAATTTTAAGACAGGTTCTTGCTAAACTACTGAGGTTCACCTCAAACCTGAAATTCTCCTGCCTCAGCCTCCCAAGTGACGGATTACAGGCATGTGCCCCTGCGCCTGGCAGCACTATTGACAGAAGTTTTATGGTTGGATTTTCACAGAGGGCCTTTGCTCTGTAGAGAGAAATTAGGGTCCCATCTCAGCAAGAACTTGCAGTAGATTTTCCTGTGTGTTTTTTTCCAGGATTACCTACCTTGGCTTAGTAGGCTGGAAAAAGCAATGATTCATGGCATAGTAAGGAGTAAAAGTTTGTTGTTTTTTTTTTGGGGGGGGTGGTATCAGGGATTGAATTCAAGGACACTCAACCACTGAGCCACATCCCCAGTCCTATTATGTATTTTATTTATAGACAGGGTCTCACTGAGCTTCGCTAAGATGCTGATGCTGGCTTTGAACTCATGATCATCCTGACTCAGCCTCCCAAGAGTAAGGAATAAAAGTAAGGAGTAACTTGGTATGTTCAGAACAGTGTACAAACCAGGAGCATACATACTACAAGGCTCAGAGATGCTCTTTGAGGATGACCACTTCCCTACTCCCTCCTCCCAGCACCTTCTATCTCCTGCTTGAAGCTGTGAGTTCCACGTATCTATTTTACCCATTACTTTCTTCCCAGTGCATAGTGCTTGTGTCTGGCACATCAAAAGGAACACACATATTTATTGGATGGATGAATAAATTAATTAATTAGGTTGATCAGTCTGACAAGCTAGATCTTCTGTCTGGATTATTCAATTCCTCACCAGTAAGATAGCAGAAGGTTTGGAACAAGACTGTTTCCCTAACTCTTCCTGCTCATGATTCTGGGATAGCAAGGCTCACAGGAGTCAGCAAGGTTGCACTCTCTAAAGAACCAACAGAAGGGGAAACCAAATTTATTGAGGACCTGTATTCAGGCCCTATGTAAGATGAATTCAGATGAGTCTGAGGTCCCAAATTATGGGATTTCACAGAGTTATAATTTTTTTTGAAACTTGGAATTGAAATAAAGCTGCTTATTTCTTATTTTGCCAAACAAGGATGTTAAATGAAAAACAAACTCTGATTAACTATCACTACCATTGATTTTTTTTTCTCTCATTCTTTCATTTTTTCCTCCCTCCTTTTCTTCCTTCCTTTCATCCTTTTCTGTTACTGGGGATTGAATCCAGGGACACTCTACCTTTTAGCTCCATCCCAGTCCTTTTTATTTTTTGAGACAGGGTCTGGCTAAGTTGCTAAGGCTGGCCTAGAACTTGTGATCCTCCTGCATCAGCCTCCCAAGTCACTGGGATCCCAAGTATGTGCCAACAAGTCTGGCTATCACCATCTCTTCTTAAAAGAAATGAATTTTTACACTAAGAAAGAAATACATAGTCAGTTCCCCTCCCACCTGGAAAAATGACATTTGGTCATTTAATATATATATATATTTTTTGAGATGGATGTAAATTTCAACAGACAGAACAACCCTTGTGTGGGGTCCAGTGTTTGGGACTCACTAACATGAATTAATTCACACACACACACACACACACACACACACACACACACACCTTGAAAAGGGTGTTTAATTCGTTCACTTTACTTATGGGGAACAGAAGTTCAGAGTGCAAAGACTCAGAGACAACAAGCGTTAGCTACTTATGATCTGGGTTGTCTGGGTTGGAACCCAGATCATCTTGACAGATCCTAAGCTAAAGGCTGTGTTGGAACAGGAAAGGAAATGATTCAAACGGGCTTCAAACTGGCTCCTCCTCATGCTCCTGGGGAGTTTTCAGGCCTTGACTTTGATATTTTGTTCTTTGACAGATCTTTGTGGTGTGTCCACTTCTTGCCTGGCACTTGGCTAGGCGCTGGGGACAGCAAGAGAGGGTAACCAACAATTTTCCAGTCCCTTTCTTTCCTGTCCGTTGGTATTGGCCCTGGGTCCCTTTCCCTAGGCCCAGCTCCTTGCTCGGGCGGGCAAGGAATCCCCACCACAGGCGTGGGTTGTTAACAGTTTAGGGGGTTCCCTTTCCCAGGGGTGTTGGCAGTTTTCTAGGAGACTCTGGGTACCTTCAACGCCTCCAAGACCCAAAGGACTGGAACATACTGGTATGACTTCAGGCACTGCAATAGGTTGTAGAGGAAGTAATTTGGAAGCAAGAGATTCAGTTTAAACCCCATCAAAAAATATCCCGTTCGGCCCCTCCCCCGCTGCTCTGGGCTTTGTGGGGACACACAGCCCTACAACTCCAGACTGGAAGAAGAGAGTCCCTGGAATCAGGAGCCCTACCTCGGAGGGGGCTTGCTACTTTGGCCGAGAGACCCCAGGGACCGTGCCCGCGCCTCCCTCTGGCTGCCAGAACCAAGAGGGCCCATCCCCCGTTCCGCCCTGCTCGATTCCGCATGTCCGTGCGGGAGCGCGCATCCACCGCGCTGAGCCGGAGCACGAGAGCGCGCGCCTCGGCGCGGGAGCGCGCCCCGGGGAAAACCTGAGCAAGATGGAGGCCGCGCAGAGGCCGCCGCCTGGGCCCAGGCAGCCGCTGCTTGGAGTGCCGAGCCCCGGTGCCTAGGCCGTGCCAGTCCCGGACCTGCTACCCCGGACCGGGCCCAGGTTGGTCTCCCCGCATCCATTCCCTGCGGCCGCAGCCTCCGCGCGCGCCCGGCCTGGGCGCGGGGCAGCCACCCCCCCACACCGCCGGCCCTGCCCGGGCCCTGCTGCTCCCCAGCGTCCTGGGGACAGCCCCTGCCTACCACCTGCCCTTAGCACCCCAGGCAGCCTGCTGGCCCTGGTCCCTGGTCCCTGTGGCCTGGAAAGCCCCTCTCTCCAGTCCTGGCCCGCCAATCCTAGGCTCCCCCAGCCAACGTCCAGCCCTGGCTTCTGAGGAGCGTCCCCCCCCCCCCGCCCCGTGCCCAGATCCTGCGGTCTCAGCACCGACACCACTCTAGCCTCATCCTAATGCCACCTTCGGCCACCTCTCCCTCTTAGACCTCTCACCAGCCCCCATTTCCTGCCCCGGCACCAGTATCAGCTTCCTAATCGCCCTCTGCTAGCCCCGTACATCCTCCCCCCCCCCCATAAAAGCCCCTAGTCCTTCCATAGCCCCTTTCCAGCACCCAATACCGACCTTCTACCTCTAATAGCAGCCCCCATATTCCCCCCGAGCTCTCTATATACGACCCCCGCCGTTAATCCTCTAATTATGGTCTCCAGCTTCCTTTCCATGTCCCCACGGTTCTCCTTATCCCCAATGCCAGTCCCCAAACCCCCTCCCAACTCTTCCATGACCACTTTCTGGCCTCCCCGTTTTCCAACTCCCATACTCTCGTCCCAGCCCCCCCAACTTTCACATGACCGCTTCCTAAGCCCCCGAATAGGAGGAGATCCTTGCCAGTCCCCCCAGACGCCGCCCCAACACTCTCATGACCCCCTCCTAGCTCCCCCATACCAGCCCCCGTGTCCCCCAGCTCCGCCCCAGGCCCCGCCCTCGCGAGTTCCTTGACTTAGGGCGGCTTCTCGCGTGCGTCCCCAGCTCCCGCCGGCAGCCCAGCGGTCTGTCCCGGGCCGGCGGCCCCCGCCTGCCGCCGCCGCCGGCCCCGCCCCCGGGCACCATGCTGCCCTCGCAGGAGGCCTCCAAGCTCTACCACGAGCACTACATGCGGAACTCGCGGGCCATCGGCGTGCTGTGGGCCATCTTCACCATCTGCTTCGCCATCATCAACGTGGTGGTCTTCATCCAGCCCTACTGGGTGGGCGACAGCGTGAGCACCCCCAAGCCTGGCTACTTCGGCCTCTTCCACTACTGCGTGGGCAGCGGGCTGGCGGGCCGCGAGCTCACCTGCCGGGGCTCCTTCACCGACTTCAGCACCATCCCGTCCGGCGCCTTCAAGGCGGCCGCCTTCTTCGTGCTGCTCTCCATGGTGCTGATCCTGGGCTGCATCACCTGCTTTGCGCTTTTCTTCTTCTGCAACACCGCCACGGTCTACAAGATCTGCGCCTGGATGCAGCTCTTGGCAGGTAGGGGAGGAGGCGGGGTCGGAACCCCCAGAACAGGCGCCAAGGTTGGGGTCTCCTTTCTGGAGGAGTCAGAGAGAGATTCTGTTCCTCTGTGCTAAGATACATCCTTGGCCCACCCTCAGCAGCTTCTAGGGAAGGAGATTTAATGAGAGAGACACCTTAAGGCAGCGGGGAGAGTGTTAGAATTGGGTATTTGGGTCCTCATGCGTGGATATATATGCACATTGCATTTATTGATGGATTAGCATTATGTTATCGTCTCTGAGTCTCTGTTGGCCGAATTTGTGGAAATATTTTTCTGAATCAGGGCTTTCTCTAGGTGTATTCTATTTACATTATGTTGAAAAAAGCATGAGACACAGAATCAAGAGCTCTAACTTGGACCTTTAACTCGCTGACAATAACTTGGGTGTTTCACTTTGCTTCTCTGAGGCTTGGTTTCTTCATCTGTAAACAGTGGAGAGGGTTCCAGAGGACAAATCAAAGAGTATCTGGTAAACTTAAAAAAGTTCTGTAACAAAAAAAAAAAAAAAGTTCTGTAACAAGGGGTGGGGGAGGCTGGCTGTGATTTCTGTCCAGTCCTAGAGATGTGGGTTGTTGACAGCGTCTAACAACAGGGATCTCCAGAGGGACGGTTCTATTCTTTAAAACCCCCACTCCCCTGGCAGGAAGTGTTCTGGTGCCATTCCAGAAGGAAATGAGTCCCTGTGACCTTCTGATGTGTTTGGCTGAGATAGTCATCCTGCCCCAAGTATCGGCAAACGGCCTTTTGGGAATGAGAAATGCTGAGACAGTTTTCCAGGATCCATTAGAGTCCCCTGTCCCCACCCATCTTTCGATTGAAGACAGATTTTGAAGATTCAGCAACTTGGGCATTTGCCTAATTGCAGATAGGGAAGAGAGTTGGGCAGGGGAAAGTGGGGCCAGGAAGGGCAAAATGGGGAAGGATGACTGGTGAGGTTAGGATAAAGTTGGAGCCCTCCAGGGATGAGAAAGAGAAGAGAAAATGTGATAATCATGAATCAGAGAGAGTCTTTACAATAACACCTCAAAACATTCAACAAGTGTACAACCCTGCAAAAGAGATTGCTTGCTGGTGATGTTCAAAGCATTTGTAGGAAGTTGGCTGTGTAGCACAGGGTGTATTCTCTTGAACATCTCCATTGAGGGGGAACCCCCATCTTTTAAAGGAGGAATGTGATATTTGGAAATGGCTGGAAGTCACTCAGGGTCAGGTGTTTGGAATATGATGGGTGATCAAACTAAGCATTGTCACTTGGGATGAAAGCCAAGATATGAGGACAAGGTCATGAGGCTGGTTCCCTTATTCAAGAGGACTTAACAAATGTTGGGAGGAATTACTGACCCACTGGAAGAACTGCACAATCTCCTGAGAGGACTGATTTGAAGAAGGTAGTGTATATTCAGATGTAGATTTTTGTGTGTGTGTGTTTGTGTGTGTGTGTAGTACTGGGGATTGAACAAGGGTCTCTCTCATTCAAGGCAAGCACTCTACTACTGAATGACATCCTAGTCCTTTTTATTTTATTTTGAGACAGAGTCCCACTAAGTTGCTGAGGCTGGCCTCAAACTTGCAAACCTCATGCTTCAACCTCCTGCGTTACTGGGATTACGGGCATGGGCCACTGCATCCCAGCCCAGATGTGGACATTCTGATGACTTGCTTCATATCCATCTCACCCCACTCAACTTCAATGTGGATTCTCCTCCTGGTATTGGGGATTTGACCAGGGTCACTGTATCATTGAATCACAGCCCCAGTCCTTTATTTTTTTATTTTTTTACTTTTTATTTTGAGGCAGGGTCTTGCTAAATTGCCAGGCTGGCCTTGCACTTGTGATCCCCTTGCCTCAGCCTCTCAGGTAGTTGGAATTACAGGTGTGCACCACTGTGCTTGGCTCTTTTCAAATCTTTGAAGAGAAGAGAATTGTAGGATGTGGGGAGTATCTTTCCAAATTTCTCACTGGTACCCAGAGACAGATGATATTTTATGTTTCCATTCTATAATTCTTCCAAAGGCAAGCTGGGAAGAATATACAGTCAGCTGGACACCCTGCCCCCCCATTCATCAGCCTAAATCTGAAGTCTGCAGATGGGTTGCTGACTGTTTGGCCTTCAAATTCTCTGTAATCTGTGTAGGTTTAATCTTGGGGATTTGATGAACTATCCAACAACCCCCACATAATCATTGAATTTCAGGGATCTTAGCGATCATCTCTTTCATATTCTACTCTTCCCTCCCTGCTTGAGAGAGAGGAGACTGAGTATGGAGAAATGAAGGTCTACAAGGCCAGCAAAGGAGTAAATGGGGTGTAAGGCTCTGGGGTTCTTCACTGTTTCCCTTGTGTTACTATCCCATTCCTGAGGGTTGAGAAGCTGAGTTGAACGGTTTATTCCATTTTGCTCAGAGAACTTCTGAATTCCCTTGGTAAGTGACTGATTCACTTTGCTTAATCAAGTGACACCAGTGCAGAGGTCAGAGCACTATGCTGAGAGTTATGGGAATAGAGCTCTTGGCTGACTCTGCCAGTGTCTCAACAGTGCTAAATCTTTTTGGTTTAAATCTCAGTTTTCTCATCTGTACAAGGGGGATGTGGATGCAGTTAGAATAGTTGATTTAAAGTATCTTTTTCAGCTCCTTTCACCAAGATCGTTCCATTTAGATCTACACCCCCAGCCCTTTTATAAAAAATTTTGAGACAGCGTCTAAGTTGCTCAGGCTGGCCTCAAACTTGAGATCCTCCTGCTTAAGCAGGAGAAATCCTGGTGAAGTAAGAAAGTGAAAGATCTGTTATCCCCAGAGGAACTGCAGAGAAGCAAGGGGCTTTGTTTGTGTCATATAAGAGTCAGAATGTGGGCTGGGGTTGTGGCTCAGTGGCAGAGGGCTTGCCTTACACATAGGAGGCACTGAGTTCGATCCTTAACACCACATAAAACAATAAACAAATAAAATAAAGACACGCTGTCCATCTACAACTACAAAAAATTAAAAAGAAAAGAAAAGCAAGTGAAAAATCTGTTATCCCCAGAGGGACTGCAGAGAAGCAAGGGGCTTTGTTTGTGTCATATAAGAGTCAGAATGCCTGTTATGTGATTCTTGCTCCTGTGAACTTTTTTTTTTTTTTCCTCCAGTACTGGGGATTGAACTCAGGGTTGCTCTACTGCTGAGCTACATCTCCAGCCCTTTTACTTTTTTTTTTTTTTTAATTTAGAGACAGGTTCTTGTTAAGTTGTACAGGCTGGCCTCCTGCCTCAGCCTCCTGAATTACTGGGAGTATAGGCATGCACCCCATGCCCAGCTTCCTGTGAACTCTTATTTCATGTTTAAGAATCTTCTAAATGCAGAGCATTTACCCCCTGGGAAAATACAAAGAGATATTTCTTTGTTTATCCATCACCTCTTCTGTGATCATCCGGGTACCAGATGCTGCAATACTGAGATCCATTAGGCACTCTCCCTGACCTCTAGGATCTTAAGTCTATGAAATGCAATCCCTACTCTCAGAAAGTTTATGGTCTAGTTGGTTCATTGCATTGGCCAGTAATCTTGCAGTGACAACTGACAAACTCAACTCAAACTGTCTTAATTAATTAAAATGAAGAGGGTAGAATTTATTGGCATACATATTTTGGGAGTCAAAAGTATCTGGCTGTTGAATGTGGTGGTGCACACCTGTAATTTCAGCTTCTCAGAGGGCTGAGGCAAGAGGATCACAAGGTTCAAGGTCAGCCTGGACAACTCTGTGAGAACCTTTCTCAAAATAATAAGGGCTTAGGCTGTGGTTGTGGCTCAGTGGTAGAGCACTTGCCTGGCATGTGTGAGGCACTGGGTTCAATCCTCAGCACCACATAAAAAAAATAAATACAATAAAGATATTGTCCAAAAAAAAAAAAAGAATGTGCTTTTTTTAAAAAAAAAAAGATATTGTGTCCATTAAAACAACAACAACAACAACAACAACAACTGGAAATGTAGTTCAGGGATAAAGTACTTGCTTAGCATGTATGAAGAGGCTTTGGGTTCAATCCTCAGTACCCCCCCACCACCACAAACACACATGCACACACACATACAGTATCTGGCTTTCCAGGAATGGTGGCGTACTCCTGTAATCCCAGGACTCAAGAGCTAAGGCAGGAGGATTGCAAGTTCAAGGTCAGCCTCAATAACTTATTGAGATCATGTCTCCAAATAAAAATAAAAAAAGGACTTGGGAGGTACTCAGTGATAAAGTGCCCCAGTACTAAAACAAACAAAGCAAACAAACAAAAACAAAAACAAAAAACCACCCACCAAAACCCGAAATGAAACAAGCAAACAAAAAACCAAAGTATCTGGCTTCAGGCATGGATGGATCCAGATGCTCAAATAATGCCATACAGTATCTGTCTCACTTCATTTCATGGTTTCTCTATTTTGGCTCAGTTTAAGTTCACTTCCTTCTCAAAGGTGGCAAATACTGGAAGCTCTGAATTTGCATTGCTAACCCCAACCCTGTGGAAAAAGAATGATTCTAGCAAAAGTTCCAGGGTGATTCTTATTAGCCTAGCTTTTGCCAAGTGTCCACCTCTTTGTCATGGTGACTTTTTCTAAGGCCTGAGCATGTGCCTATCCCTGGAACAACAGATGGACTACTGGTGGAGAAAAGTCAGTTCCCACAAAGGTAAATCAAAGGTGACAGCTGTGGGAGAGGAACCATGGGTAAGACAACTGCAGATAGAAGCTCCTGCTCTGGGCAGTCTGAGCCCTAACACGTGTCAGGCTGCGCTCTGGAAACCCAGAGCAACAGAGGGAAATGAGACCGGAGCTGGGGAAGCCATTGACAGGCATGTGGTATTGGGCAGCATTCAGAACAGAGAAGAAGATCATGGTGGAAATGCAGAGAAAGGAAGCCACATTTGTCTTGAGGGGGGCATCCATGTAGGGGAGCAGCAAGAGAGGCCAGGAAGGAGTATGAGGGTCACTGTGTGTTGGGTTA